TGAAGCAATAAATCGACTTGACTGACAGGTTTAATTATAGCCCAAACACTATTACGTTGTACAGAAAAGGATAGAGTTGCTGTGTGTGGGTAGCTGTCATTCTCACCTCTAAAGTAATGATGGTGGTATCAGTAATAGGCTTGATGGGGGAGTTGTTGCTTACTAATATTTGGAAGGCAGTGGTGGTGATGATACTACGGAGAACTGAGAAAAAAGAAAGTTGATTCACAAGACACAAGACAAGTAAATCTGCTTAGATTAATATTTACTTAGTATAGCACTTGGTACACTCCAAAAACATTAATGTAAATTTATGTATATATAATTTATGCATATATAATTTCCGTTTGGATTGCACAGTTTTATTCTAACTAATAAACTAAAACAAAAAAACAAACAAACCAAGAAAAACAAAACAAAACAAATGAAACGGGTAAGATTTCTGTAATAGTACTAATATTTTATACTATACTAAAATTTACTATATAAATTTGAATATATTTTATTTTAATTGAATATTGCTTGTTTCATGTCATATTTTAACCATGTTCATACTTTTTAACGGATTAAATTTAATTGTTTCCAGAATTAACAAAATTATGCTAATTCTAAACCATCTCAATACATTTTTAAAATAAATTTAAATATTTAAATAAATGAGGCTAGATGCAAAGGTAATAATAAACATTGCCTTTGAAAAAAAAAATGCAGAAATCTCTTTTCTGTTTCATGTATGTATGACTGAGAATTAGTTTTTATGTTAAAACAGTGTAATTCAAATAGATGGAAATTTTATATCCAATTCAAATACATAAATCTTAAATTTAGGCATAAATATTTACTTAGCATTGGTGTTTAATTAATAATGGTGCAATTATTTTATTTTATAATTTAATTTTATTTTATTTTATTTTATTAGGCAAGTCATTCACTCACATGCACCTAACAATTACATTTTTTGTTATTATTATTTTGTATTTTATCTTTAACCAATCAAATCACTTGAATAACATTTTTTTTTGCTAAATATATCATACTATAATGCATAATAATACATTTGAGTGGCTACAGCAATTACAGCCAAAATATTACATCATTTTGTCTTTTTTTATGACTGCTTGTACTCGGCAGTGTCCCTCTCACCTCTCACTAGAACAGAAGCAGACTTAGTTGCTGCAGCCTGAGTGACTTCTTCATACATACAGAGCAGCTGGTCGTCCTCTGGGACCACATATACAGGCATGAGGGTCTCCTTCTGCAGGACCTGAGATTCAGCCACCATAAAGCCCTAGAGACAGGAAATTCATTTTCTGACCTTTAGCTAATCAGGCTGGGGAATTGAGAGGTATCTAATGTAATCTACTTCCTTCGTTGATCTCACATAACCTACAGTTACTGGAAGAAACAATGAATCAGCAGCTATACATCAAGCGTAATTGTGCATAACTGCAAGAGATGTTCCTGAATTACCTGCACAATATCCTCTGGTACTGAAGAGATGTTTTGGGGTAGCAGTATCAAAACAGCTGCTGCATTCTGCTTTTTGGCCTCTAGGTAGCGCTCTGTGGAGAAATCAGGCAGCTTCATGATCACACATCGGCGAGTCAGACTTGTATCCACAGCTGATCGTGCTTCTGCCACCACAATAGCTCCACGGCAACCTGAGGGTCAAAGGTCAGAGTCTAAATATCATGATCACCTTTGCACAGATACAATGAAATTAGTGTGTGCCCTTTTCAAATGAGTGCATTCTTAATTATATCAGGAAATGAGATTTCCAGTGGGGTGTTTTTGTGGTTCGGCATCTTTTTAAAAATACATCAAAGCCATTGTTGAATCCAGAACCGCATTCTACTCTTACTATTTTTATTTTACCTTATTTTTTCTATGGAAGAAACAGAGGAACAGAAACAATAATGTTTGAAATAGCATACTGCCTGTTTCCCACAATGCATTGTGCTTGATGTGTTCTTGATGTGTAGTTTGACAAAAAAGTCAAGTTTGGAATCAAGATTTTTTACGTTTTTTTTTTTTTTTTTTAAAGACGTCTCTTATGCTCACCAATGCTGCATTGATTTGATCCAAAATACAGTAAAACAGCAATGTTAT